CATAACTCTTCCCCCCTCCCCCTTCCTTACCCAGAGAGTTTATGTTTAAAAAGGGCACGATTGGGGGACACTGTTGGTAGGCGTCAGAAATGGGAGCAACTGATAAGGGCTGATAAAAACTTCAGAAGGCAAAAACCAGTGAAAGCTTTCTTATATTAGAGAAGTTCATGAACACAATGTCTTATGTGTTCAGTTAATTGTGATCGTAGATAGCACGTGGTAGGAGCTGATAACGAATGATAAGAGCTGGTAAAGAGCAATACAAGGCAAGGGCCAAAAAGGCCAGCCAAAACCTCTCCCCATATTGAAAGTAGAGCTTTGACAGTTTTAGTACGAGGTGGGGTCGCAAGATATCGTAGATAAATGGCGTTAAATAATGATAACAAGTGATAGAGCTGGTAAGGGAATCCACAAAGAAGGATCCCGAAGATAGATTAGGGCTCTCATTAGAGCCCTCACATTTGATGCTTCTCGACGTTTTGTATGGAGCGGGACGGGATCATGGAATGTTGGGGATAGGCAGTTATAGCAGTGGCATTGGGTGATCAAGACCTTACGGTAAAAAAGACCTGATATTGGGTACGGTAGGAGGGGAATCGAGGGATCGTGGTGATTTTCGGAATAAAGTGGTAACAGAGATAAAGGATGACAGGGGATTTCATGATGGTAAAACTAATGGCCCCTGAGCGATTGCACCAATGGTGTTAGCCTGGATCCTGGGCTAAAGATGGTTTTAACAATGATTAGGACTGATAAAAGCTAGAACCATATGTATGAGTGCACGAGAAATACAGCTGCTCCGAGTTTATCCGACTATGGACTTCATGATATCTTATAATCATCATTCCTTCCTTTCTTCTGTTCCGTAGCTTCTAAGAGTAGAACAGTTTGTCAAAGAGATTAGGCTGAAAAGAGAGTATCCCAAAAAGAAAAGGATAAAGGACAACTGAGCTCTTCAACTTTTCATTTGTTGAATGAAGTCGTTCAATATGTTAATTATCAGTGAGCCCTTCGAAACACATCGCTTTGGCTACAAAATGACCGTGATGGTAGCCCCATATGGTGACGCACAAGGTGAGTTCTCTTTCGCTCTCGGAGTCCAATACCATCGTACACTCCCACCACGTGCAATTTCTTACTTTCAAATCCAACGCATATAAGATGGGATGGTGGACGCACACTGTGTCTATAGTCGACGTGGTGAAGACACGCCGCACGATGGCGCGCGGCAAACCACTTCACGATTTGCAGATGCCATTAGAAAATCGTTTGATCTGAATAACTTTCCCGCGCGCGGATATTCGAGTGCAACTTGGAGAGCGCTATCAAAAATTAGAATAAGAGAAATTATTGAAGAAGAGGAAAAAAATAATCGTTTCGAAAAAGTGAAGACAATAAACACAAAGGAGCTGGAAGAAATTAAGTTCTAAAATCTTGAAGGAACAACTCAGTTCCTTGCGCGAAACCCTATTAAGCTTGTGTGTTGAATGCTTATGACAACAGGTGTAAAACTCGAAAAGAGACTTTGATGACTCACTTTTTCATATGATGAAGCGCTTTAGATCTGCTCCCAAAAGAAAAAGCGTGGAAGCAGAATTAGGTGTGTCAATACTTTCAAACTGGAAGAGAGAGTAATTGGAAAATGAAGTAGTTGAGCAGCTAGTTGAAGAAGATGGCTCGCAAGTAACGTGCAAAGCTGCTGCAGCACTAATGCACTCGATGTCCTATTTAAATGTCCGCGCCCCGGAAATCAAACCACAAAATCTATAAATTCTACAGTATTCGTCTTGGAGTAGATGGGGAACGGCTGCTTTCATAGTCCGCCGGCTGGGGGACTACTCGGCCAGCGGTATCGACCAAGATTCAGTTGTGAACAAGGGGCAAGCGCCGTCCCCTCCACGACGTGAGCGATGTGACTTGATTCCGTCGACTATGGAATCTAACATCCCCTGCGGGGAACAATGTTCATCTGGGAGTGCAGCGAAGCGCAGAAGGACAAAGCACAGTTCGTAAGATTCCGAGACCATAGACCATAAAAGCCTCTTACATTAGACCGCTGCTGGTGAGAATTCTTTGAGATTATTCGTTTTCAGTGGCCCGTCAGTACTTATCTATCTATGTGACTCTGATCAAAGGTGATTACGATGCAATCCTACGATGGCCCTTTACACATCCAATGACATTTACGGCACACGCAGTCAACCCTTCAGAAGACCGTAAGTTTGACATTTTTGGACTCTCGGAAATGACCAGTTTATGTTCTCAGAAATTTTCGAAGCAGCAGGGAGTAGAGATATAAAGGAATAAAGGAGCACCGCAACTAAAAAGTACTGTGGAGTGCGTTCACGCAACCAGACCTATCCGAGTTTTTAGAAGCTTGGACTTTGTATAAGCGGAATATTCCCTGGGGCTTCTTTCTTTTATCAAGAATTTAAAATTCCCGGAAGGTTCCCGACGAACTGCTCGTAGTATTCTTTTCAGTAGTACGAAAGTTCATCCCAAATCCAATACCACAGAATCTTCCATTTCTTGGACGTCCAACTACTCGTAATGCCGCTTTTGGGATACAGGTAACGCTTGAAATAGTTATCTTTATGTTGTAAATCTCAGAAGTGGAGATTGGTACTGAAAAATACGAAGATGGGGCAGTTATAAGAGACGGTCCAAAAACTAACTGCGTAGCGGGATCTCCTCCAAGTCTCTCCTGAGTATGTTGATCACCAGCCGACTCGCCTGGGAGGGATGACGAAATTAAGGACTACTACATGGTGTATTCCCCCAGATTACTATGCGAGAATCAGGTTTTGGACTGATCCCATTCCCTATTCGACTCATTCAGCAGTTTGAATGCCTACATACTAGGTCTATACAATTTCTTGTGGGACTAGCTAATATAAAGTCAGGTCTTCTATCCCGGTCGAGTCTGATACATTATAATTGACCCTATGGAAAATAAGTCGAATTTGGACACGTCTGGGTACTAAAGGGGCTAGTGGACCCTGTGGACGACAAGATAGTTTCTGATTCGTCTGAAGGATCAGAGAAAGTGTGAGCCTCAGGAAGTGGGGAAGCCTAGGCATAAATCGACCCAGAACTCGATCGATTTCCAGATGTTGTAGTGTAGTGCTCCAATGGGCATTCCTCCAACTCAGCCTACTACGGTATTACAAGCACGAACTCAAACGATTCTGAATAAGAGGCTGGGGACTCCTTGGCAAGCTGGGCGCCTTCCAGAGGGATCCATCAGTTTCAGGTCATGAACCTTATTTTGATCCTGGAAAATCAGTGAAAACCGTTGACCATTGAACCTAGCTATCCTGAACGATCTTAAGGTTTGAGAACCCCCAGAAAGCTGAAACTACTGAACCAAACTTGGGTAAAACAGTCGATTAGTTAATAAATATTCGGATCTTGGTGAACTTATTGGTTAGTTGACTCATGATTGAAGACGGCTATTCAGCGCTTCTGTAAATTGATGGACGTCGACAAGTACATCATTGAAGGAGACTTCTTTCTCAGCGTACACATCGATTTGAGCCTGTTGGATAGGGAACGAACACCCAGAATGCCGGCAGATGATTTCTGAAGCAATGAAAGGAGAATGGCCACGATTTTCCGGTTTTAATGATGTGATATAAAAAAAAGTTGTCGTAACGTTCCCCAATCCATCTGAGTGGTGTTCTTCAATAAACAATGCTTAATGCCACAAAGGTCAGAACTCTCAAAATCATAAATATTCTAAATATGTTTTCGATTCTACCGCATCGATGTGACAGCAGTATTTGTAGGCCGATCTCTCACCTTCATTTCCGAGTCCGCGTTCAGCTCGGCCCGATATGCCACTGAACCTTCATGGTGATCTACTCCAAAGACCTGACGACCAAAAAGGGGTTTTTAAGTAATACCATGAGGGCTTGAAAACAGTTGGTCTTCATGCCGACCGAGCGTTCGATGGGAAAAGAGGCGCCAACTCAGAAGGCACTCACTCCTCGATTAATCCAACTCTACTCATCAAGGAATTCTCCATCCCTGGGGCATGTGGGGGGTGGGGTTCGGTCAAGTGTAACTTTTCGTGAGATAGAGGAGAAAATAAGAGAATAAGCAAGAGTGAGAGCCAAAGCAGCAAACCTTTGTATCAGCCAAACAGACATTTTAGGGACACCGCTTCTCAACGATTGTCGAATGTGTGGCGCATCTCACAAGTATGATCAATTTTGACTTCTTCATTCAGGATCCTCTCATGGTAGGATCATTTCTAGTCGACAAATTCACTAATGGGAGTCCTTTTTGTAATAATTAGGAAGTCTGAGAAACACATTCGAAAAGGGGTTAAAAACAGTGACGGTTGAGACAAGATCTATCAAAAGAAAAGAAAAATGGGGGTGAAAAAGGAACGTTTTTCTCACAGCAAATAACATATCAGAAGGGCGAAATCAAGGTAAACAACGCATAAAAATTACAGGTAAACAATGTAATAAATAAGGAAAATTGTCGGGGAAATCAATAGCCAACACGAAGCAAGTGGCAGACCGCCATTTGAGAGATCAACGTTTACAGGAACAAGTCATTGAACGCGATCTACTTGCGATTGAAAGTACATCGGGAGGACGAAGAAGTAGTACGTTGAGTAGAGTACACGGGACGACGGCTGTATTTCATCACTTCGTCATGTGATAGCAATGTAAAACCTCGCGAGGCTCTCAGTCCGACTTTCCTTCCCAGTTTGTTCTGTCTTCGGGTCCACACCCCTTACCCAATGCACGTTAGTTCCACTATCGTTAAAGGAGAAAAGGTAAAGAGAAGTCCAGAGGTGGTGTAGGGCCATGTGGCACACCACTATCTTGGCTTTGGGGCTGGATTTTGCATTGATATCTGCTCAAATTATGGACCCCATCTTCCTTCAAATGACATGCCAAATATAGCTGGAATCTTAATGTGGGGGCCAACACCGAGCAATGGGATTGATCAATCCCAAGAAGATCTTTGTGGAAGGAAAAGCTACTATCCGTGGAAAGGAGGTTGATTGCAAGCTACCGCGGGATCAGTAAGGTTGAACAGTAAAGTGGCTTTGAGCATTAGATAGGACGGGACATTGCGTTCATACTTCGCCATCTTTCGTCAGGTCGCGTGTGTAAATATTGGTTATCGATTGGTGCCAAGCATTGCACTACACGTACTAGGCTTACAACTAACTAACTCCGGTTGGTTGGCGCCTATGCATCGTTCAGGCCAGCAGACAGTGTAGTTTGACCGTTTAATTTTGCAGGCCATTAGGTTCGGTTCAGCTTGCTTCTCCTCGATGAGGAACTTAGTAGAATTCGTACACCGTTCAATTGATATGGGCCCTCCCTGAACACAGGAACCGCGGCACGCGTGCGGAAACTACGGTCTCACGAATGAGATCGGTGACACTTTGCCGTCAAACGCGTCGCGTGCACAGCTGCCGCCCAGGCCGACTGCAAGCGGGTCAAGTATAAACAACGTGCCGTTGAAATATTTGTGACTGCTTTTGGACCCGATGTCTTTTGGAATCCCCCACCCCTTTTACACTTCATCAGGTAGTTCCGTTATTCAAAATTGACAACTTCTTGGCCTGAAAACGCACAATCTATTTCGATGAACTCTTTAATTATTGCTAGTACAGTATGTTTTTATTTGTAGTCATCAAGTATTCCGCCTTTCCACAGTGGGAACACTTCCATTCGGCCAGATTGTGCGTCAGTAAAACGATAAATATGATAGCAGCGTACAAGATCTGATAACTGTCGAAACTGAAAATTGTTGAATTAGTGGAGAGGAGGCAAAGCCGAAAAGCCTTCCAGGGATCCAGAGATATTAATGAGATCTACTCACACACAAAAATTCGGGAGGGAATCTGGTGTTCCAAGCTCCGTCAACGACCGAAGATCAGGGGTGCAGTTGATTATGCCAAGAAATCGAAGATCGACTGGGCCGGACACGTTATTCGATATTGTGATGACCGGTGGATCATGGCAGTTACCCACTGGATCCCTTGGGACGTCAAACGAACACATGATAGCCTCCAGCGCCATGGCCCCCCGCCACTCTTTGCAAAAGGTCTGAAGGGAAAGAATGCTATGCCCTGGTCTTTCCAGCAAGGACGATTCACTGAACCACTCTTACTCGAGACAATGACGAATGGAGACATTGCTGTCAGAGTTCAGCAAGGTATATAATGGTATCAGTTTCTTCTCTAACAATTTGTTGATTTGTCCGAAATGCCTTAGTGAGTTATGGCTCACGCCAGACAGGTTTGGAAGACCCACTACCTATTGCAAATTCGATTTAGATTGATACGTGGGTACATAGCATCAGTCTGGCTGGTGGCTACCGGCTCCACCAATCACAATCGCCCTTGTTTTACGCAAGCCCCACCTACTCAAGTTTTACTTCACCCGAGATCGATTTGTGGGAGTATGACCAGTGATCGTTAAAGCGTATTGAAAGAAAATATCAAAACCAATGAAAGGTAGCAGAAACCTGCGCCATACGGACCGATTGATTCATAAAACTGCTGATCTGGACTTGCCACCATCGTGCGCCATTTTCTTCAGCAGAACGGACTACTGGGAAGTGGAAAAGCTGAATATTTTATCATCAAAAGGATAAATAATTGATCTGACCATAACCTACAGGGGTCAAGTAACATTTCCAAACAGAAAAAAATTAATCATTTAGAAGAGGAGGGCATTAGGTCTGACGTTCAGCCGCACGCGCTGCATGAGATGGGGAACGAATGGTTTGCTGGGCAGATATGATGTCCTCCTGCTGACCGCCCTACTATCTCTACCATGTTTCTGCAACTATTCGGAAGACGTGGGTATACTCCTTGATCTGTTTCCTGCGCGAATTGTTCACGTAGTAAAAACGGACCTAATGACACACAATCTAAAAACGCTGTGTCTCCATGCTCGGTATGTGCCTTCGAGACTCTCAACCTTGTCAACTTCTGAACTTAGTTTTGCTTGTTTTGCTTCTGACAATGACAAATCTGAACCTACATATGCATGGCCCAATCTGAGCTAATAAAATATACTTACCTTATTGCGTGTATTTCGATGAGCCAAGTATAGTGGAATTGCAATTTCGAGTTCTTCATCGTCTTCTTTTTTATAGTACAATACAAAATCATCAGGTTTTACCATCTTTCCTGCCTAAATAGTCTATTGTACTAGCTGATTCTCGGCAACTAAAAGCTGTCATTGCTGTAGTTTTGAGCTTCTTTCGCACTACAGGACGTTGGGACTTGAGATCCAAAGCATTTCGAACAATGATATCCTTCAACCGAACAGAATGTTTGACCTTCTATCGCGCGGAATATAATAGAAGGCACGATTGGCTAGTGGTAGGGGTTTTCTATCAATAGATCCTCAATGGAAAAATTTACAAACTTTCAGTAGAGATATTAATGGCCATCCATGAACCATACACCATTTTACGGGGACTCCTGTTCCATACTCCTATATCCTAAAACCAAGCCTGATAGAGACTTTTGGTTATGAAAAGATCGCGGTTACGGGTAGAGTCGATGTAATGCCAAATGGCTCACTACCACGCACGCACGGTCCAGGGATTTAATTCCGGACCTATACCCACATACGCCGACCTGTCTTCCAACCTTACCGGGTCTTTTAACCTACAGGTACACACTTGTTTGGGAGAATAGAAGCAATGACTTATACATTAGTGGACAATGCCATTTTATTGTATAGGCACATAAGCATCCGAAACGCCACTACGATTCCGAATGGAAATCGAAGGCAGTGCGCTTCCCGAAATGGGACCATTCAACAGTAAAATACTTCTGTTCCTACCAGAACCCAAGAACTGCGAAATGGATATTAGCAGTTTGACATAGGATCGATACTTATTTCGATAGGCGAGCATGAATGACAGGCTGGCCGCATTGTGAAAGCAGTCCAAAGGAGTGAAGCCTGATCTCTCAGAAAAAGAAACGTTCCTACCTCTTCACTGCTTCGAACACCAATGAAGTGCTCTTCAACCCGTGGATCAGGTGCGGGACGAGACTGAAAATAGTCACTTTAAAACATCCAACCAGGACTGATATTAGATAGACTTGTTTGAGATTCCCGATTGAGAAATTATTGCGGGAAATTGTCATCAAGAATTGCTATCACAGTTCATGTGATTAGCGATGGAAGTGGATAGCACACGTGTAGAATAGGTATTGATTAGCGAGCTGCCAACTATAGCCTGAGCCTGTTGACAAGAGTCTGGATCTCCCACATTTGGTAATGCCCTTCTATCAGAGCTGAGAAAATCTAAACTCTGAAGATGGATATTATACCAGATTTGGAGCTGTTTACCCTATTCTATTGCCTCTATTGGCTGCACATATGTTCAGAACAATGTACCGCGCGTGACATAAAAAGGATAACCTTGGGATGTGCAATTACGTAGAGGTTGGATACCAAACTGCAACACTAGATAAGCCAGATAGCGTAGCGCTCTATGAAATATTCTACATTTTCCTCTACTCTACTTGACATCTGACAGCGACAATGAGAGATCAGCCATGCGCCGAGTATGAACGCGACACGAGTTTGCGGCAGAGAGCACGCTCTATAGTTGCATTATCCGTATAAGCCAGCTCCCATAAGATTAGCTATCCAAAAACTTCAGTTCTTCTTTCTGCAGCGATCGATTTCTCACAGACGGCACACGTTTTTGACAATGCTACGACACTGTGTTTGAAAATTATGCTCATGTCGGTGAGTATAAACGCAACTCACATCGGCTTCAGCTTTTGGCAGCGGAACAAAACTTGAACTATCACAATCTCGAATATAAATAGGATCCGCATCAGAGCTCTGAAACAAAAGTACTCACTTACTGACCGATTGTGAATTCTTTTAATAAGTTGGTAAACTTGCCACAATTGACCATCTCGTCTGCTCGTCACCAAAAAACTGCATTGGTGGGCGATCTTCACTGGTGGGTTTTGAGGACTGAAACTGTACGAGTTAGAATGCCATCAAACATTTCAAGATGCTTCCTTGAACAAAACTTGAACTATCACAATCTCGAATATAAATAGGATCCGCATCAGAGCTCTGAAACAAAAGTACTCACTTACTGACCGATTGTGAATTCTTTTAATAAGTTGGTAAACTTGCCACAATTGACCATCTCGTCTGCTCGTCACCAAAAAACTGCATTGGTGGGCGATCTTCACTGGTGGGTTTTGAGGACTGAAACTGTACGAGTTAGAATGCCATCAAACATTTCAAGATGCTTCCTTTAGTGGGTTAGAAGAGACAAGAACCCGCTATTGAGGCTCTCTCTGAAGTTTGAGGACACTCTGAGGGTATGACAGCGTGTGGTAACCTAGTTTCAGGGCGGAGACCGCGATGACACTTCCTGAACTATGTCCATGCCATCACCTTCATATCATCGCTGTGACTCCAGTAGCACCCGCTCTGCTAATCGATAACTGATCCTTATCTCTATCATATCCTCTCAATCCATCCAATCAATATCTACTCTTACCACAGCTACACACCTCTTTCCAGAAAGCTTTATCGTATCGAGCTTAAATGAGCTCCATTGGAGCATGCGAGGATGAAGATTGTTTATACTTCGGCAGGACCATTTTCATTCGCGAACTCATGAAGAATGGTGTGGTCCAACCATAAGGAGAAGGAGAAGTGACTCAATCAATACCTATAGTTGCTGTAGCCACTTTGGTCAAAATGATATCGGGAGACAAACCCCCGGGTGAAAATGTAGTTGAGGGGGGGGGGGCCACCTATCACAATGTCG